CCAGTTGTAGGTAACAAATTATATTTCAATAATTACCTATGGGCTATGGCTATTTATAAGTTTATTTTGTATAATATATTATTTGTAAAATCTCTAATTTTGTTAATAAAATCTAATTCGTGCACTGTATTCATGTAGACAAGGTCATATTATGCCCGTATATTCATTAAATTAATAAATAAATTAGACATAGATATAATATAGAATATTATCACCCCGCATTAATATACCCAAAACCATATAGGTATCTAGTCTAAATTCATATTTTTTTTTATTACTACATTTTACTATTCAAGTATCAATTTATTATGAATTTAAGCATCATTAAGTAGTAATGTATAATTTTAGTAGTTTTTTGTGATACGAAAAATGTATTTTGAATGTGTATGTGTGCATTACAAAAATATTTCGTAGATGGGCCCAAAAGAACCGTGCACCCATACCCACTAATCCAGGCTTAATGAATAGAGTAGATAATTTATAAATAATAGGTAACTGTTAATCTATGGCAACCAACAGGTAATTTTTATTTTCGTCTGGTGTTTAAAATATACGATATACCTATAACATTATAATACTATCTCGCATTTAAAACGGCCGCCAAGCCAGCCCGGTAATTTTTTTGTACTTAATTAATTTTTTGTCCCCGACTCCCACCAACGACTAAACACGTCACGTCGTTTTTTACATAACGGAAAATGTTACCGTTGCCAAAAACGTTCAAAAGCGTAGCTAGCGTATGTAATATATAGATGCCTACCTACTATAATATTGTGTTACTTCTAAATGTTTTTCATTTTTTTTTTCATCTCCAAATCGAGAACAAACGCGCCCACGGCAACCGTGTTAAATTGCAGTTTTTATTATCTATGAAAACACCGTCCGATAAATACCTACGTGATGGTAGTTAAATAATACTAACTCTCTCAGTCTCTCCTACTATATCATGTACAAATATAAATATAGGTACACAAGCGTACCCTGTCTATACTCTATTATAATATACAATAAATAACAATAATCGGTGTTCGGTGTAATGATAACGACGAAATTACGAAAACGGTAGTAGACCAGCCGCGTCGGGACAGATTGCGATAACGACTGCATATTTTCATATAAACCGTGTTATGACGTATAAGACGTATTAAGTAGTAATAGCTTGTCGTAGTAGCAACTATTTTTATTAACGCAACAATATAAATTATAATATACTAATAAGTATTTTATTGCGTGTCATCGATATTATATTTAGACATTTAGTATATATTTATTCTAGCAACCAGTGCACGGTGTTGCCGACGAAGTCAGGGCAGTGGAGTGGCAGAGGCACAAATATGATAAATATCAGCGATCTAATACAATCATGTGTACGTAATATTATATTCTACAATGAAAAATACTGACAATTTAATTTTATATTACTATATTAGGTATTTAGGTATACGCAGTGGCGGTTTTGATAAAACATCAAGGGGGGGGACTATTTTCAATTTTTGGGCCTCCCCCACCATAATTAAAGCAATTCAAGCATTTAGTGTAATTTCAATTAAAAAAAGGACATGCAAAAAAAAATCATGGGGGGGTAAGCGGGGCCGTCCCCCCCTAAAAACCGCCACTGGGTATGAGTATGAAAAATAAGTCGAAAGTCAAAACTATTCATTTTTTAACGTATAAACAACGGGGAAATAAATTTTTTTGTTATCTTCATAATATTGAATTATCATTTCGGTATTTACCTTTAATAATAATAACATTATAATAGCCTGATATTTCGTACGTAATAATAATAATATGACGGTGATGACCGTCGCGGGGTCGCGTCTGCCGGCGGTGGTAAGCCGTCTCACTTCTCACTACTAATACAACTACTACTAATACTACTACAGTACTACTACTATTACTACTACCACTACACACTACCACTACTATAATTCATCTACAACAACTACCACCGCTGCCACCGTCACTACTACCACCACCTTCAACCCACCGACGCGTCATAAGTGTGTGCGCGCGCGTTTGTTTGTGTGCGTATTTGCACCATGCGTGCGAGTCTGCGAGTCATGGGTGCGGACGCCCTCCGCGTACCCGTCGACGGTGCGAGCGGTGAGTGCGTGCGTCCGTCCGCTCGGCAGCGGCGTCGGCGGCGCGCGCGCACGCATTAATACTGTTTTGCGTCTGTGTAAGGAGCTGGCGACCGGCGCGCGCGCGGTCTGTACGAGTACGTGCGTGCGAGTTTGTCCCGAGAGCGCGTACGACGCGAGCCTGTGCGATAGTGGATGTGTATGTACGTTTGTGTATGCGTGTGAGTGTGTGAGTGCGCGCGCGCGAGTGTGTCAGTTGTGTGCGTGTGAGTGCGTGTTTGGGCGTGTGTGTGTGTATGTGTGTGATTAGAGAGCGATAGCATCGTTTCGTGTGTTATGTACGGTTTTCTCGCCACCGTGGTATTAACTTGTGTGTGCATGTGTGTGTGAGCGCCGTGCGAGCTTTTTGCCCAGGAGCGACTCGTCGCCGTCGTCGCCGCAGTTTCGCCGCAGTTGACTGTTTTTCGCGTACGCGTTTTTCACGCGCGCCGCCCGCCGTCGGTTTTTCTCTTTCGCTCCGCGTCCCCATCGGACATCATTCGTGTGTGCCGACTGCCGACGCCGCCGCCGTTGTCGTGTTTATCATCCGGTCGGTCGGTCGCCCGCCCTCCCGACAACAACCGCGACGATTGCTGTCGACACTACATCCATTGCGGCACTCACGTATTCTGTTACTGTGTTATAACAACAAACAATATAATATTATTATATTGCTTCGACATAGGTACATTATTTATTATTATTATTATTATTATTATTATTACTATTATTATTACTATTCATTACCTATTACAATATTTGTATCGTTTGCGTGTGGACGTGTGTGTGCGCGTGTTTGTGTGCGTGTGTGTGCATGTATGAATGCGTGACTGTGTGCATTGTATTTATAATAATATTTTACGAGTATCGCTTTTGTGTGTTATGAATTTGGCGATATTGGTTTGATGTTGATAATAATATCGTCGTAATCGCGCACAGCGGTCCGAGCGCATTATACCCGTTTCGATTCGATATCGATTTCCGTTTTCTTTCGCGAAGGTTGAACCCGACCACCGCGTTTGCAGATCTCGCACGCTCGGCAGTCGGCCAGTGACATTTACTGACAATCGTTCAAAACCCACGGTGCGATAAGGTCAGTCAGTGTCTAAACGCGAACTCGTAATGTTCTGTACACAAAACATGCGCGCACTTGTCGTTTGCCGGGGCGGGTGCGTGAGATATTAAAGGTTAGTACGTGCTTATCGCCGCCGTTAATGCATAATATATTGGCCGCGGTGCAATAAGTGCATCGTACTGATTGACGCGTTTCCGTTTGTAAGTGTTTTCTAAAAATTGGTTATGCTCGTAACATACACCTTAAGGCATCCCCATACACGGTCAGTTTCGCTTTCTAACTCACCCGAAATTGAATTCATACAAGTAAAACAGAACTGAAGAATGTGCATATATGACCCTTGTCATAATCATGTTGCGTTTCTCGTGTCGTCAATGTGTCGGTTATCAACGATCGATTACGCTTAATTGCTTATATCAATAGATGAAGTCCACACATGATCATTTTTAATGACACAACGGTCACGGAAGTCGTTGCACCTGCTCGAAAAATCAAAACATATTTTGATTATTTCATGCTGTGCTTACAACAAACAGTCCTTCAGTACTGGTCACATATGGCAGTACTTGCCGTTTTTGCAAGTAAAACGTAAAATAAAATAGATCGTGTATGGGTCGCTTTATCTTTGTGTAAGGTTTATGAAAGGCTTTCAGCAACAACATTAACACATCGACGAGTATTATTGTTTTTTATGCTTATATATGTGCTTATACTTTATAATGTAATCTACCATGTGGTGATTTAGTTAGCTCATTGAGCACCTAAGCACCTACACATTGTGTTCTTGGCGGCCTCTTTAATTTCAAGCTCCTTTTTCCAATAACACCGTATAACAAGCTCTCTGTAAACGAAGTACCTAGGGACACCTATAATAAGTTGTAGTAGGTGTTTCGTTATTGCCATGTGACAAACTTTTTGAGGTTTTTGATACATATTATTACTTATTTAATGTTAAGTGTTAGCTTTGACATTTGACCAAATCTTATTTTGTGTCATAATTTATATTCTGTTACCTAGTTTTCTAAATTTTTAAACATACCTATCATAAATATCGACAATTACTATAACAAGGCTGATATTTATTTTAAATGTTGGTTTAATTTTAAAATAAGTTATAATTATTTACTATTGAAATATTTACTGTATACAACACTGTAAAAACTCATTTTTTTTTTTGTTTACAGGTTGCAAATTCAAGATGTCTGTTTGTTTTATCGCGTAAGATAAGATAGCTTTATAGTATTACAACAACTGGTATAAACAATGAACCATCTCAATTAGTGATTTATTCTCGGGTTTATCAAATTTAACATTTTCATAATTTATATAAAATTAATTGTATTCTATGCATAATACTTATTTCAAGTTATTTACAAAGACTGTAGTGTGATAGTAAATCGAATAATAATATATTAGTCACTACTCCGCATACGGACAATGTTCATTAAATATGCTAGTTTGATTGTATCACAACAGAATCATAAATATCTACAAAACGACGGACAAAAACCACACAGACGTTTCATCGTTTCAATACTCAATAACGATCCAAACAAGCTGTCTGCATACATGCCAATAGTTGTTGGTTTATACAGTTGTTAACTTAAACAAAAGTTTATTTTTCAAATATTGTTAACAAAATGCGATTATATCAAGAAGAACAATATTAATGAAATAGTAATTGTTTACATTATTATTACATTGTGTTTCTGTCGTTTAATTGACAATAGTCACAGAAAATTGATTTGAGCTCTGATCACGTGTAAACGAAAAAAAAGTTTTCGCATTTGCTTATATAGAGCATGTCAAACACGGCGGCTACTGCTTCTAGTGCTGGTAGTGCTGCTAGCGGTGGAACTACTGCATCAACTGGTGCGGCCACAACATTTGTCGACCGCATCGACCCATTCACAAAGATATCTGTGTTAAAACGCAAAACGAAGCGTTCACAGGGCTCATCGTCTTCTTCTAGATACCGTACGTGTTCAGACGTTGAATTACAGCCTTTACCGTTGTTAAAGGGTGAGTAAGAGTTTACAGTAAAACTATTAGTAGTTTTGAATTAATATATTTAATATCTAAATTAATATCATCAAATATATAATTTATATATATTTTTTCAATAATTATATTTTTTTTTCCTCAATTTGTTAACAATAATAAGATTCATCTAGCTAGTTATTTTATTTAATATTTTACAATATAAGATAATCTACAGATAAGTGTAACATATAATATTATATAAATACTAATTTATTATAGGTAGGTAATTTGTCATTCCTATTTAATTAATTATTTAAAATACATAAAATTACAACTTGTTTCATTTTAATAATTACGCAAAACAAAGTAATATTTTTGGGTAATACTAATTTCAATAACATATTTATATGAGTCAAAACATTTTTAAAAATCGAAAAAAATTTATGTTTATGAAATATACAGGAATTGTGCCTTATACCATTCGTATATTGTTATTTAATCACCGTTTAGATTGTTAAGTTATTGTAGGCGTGGCACCAGGTGTGAGGTCTGGCATTGTCTTGAAGATGGCTTCTTAAGCGTCAATTCTGTGGCCTACTGTGATACAATATTCGTATATTTTAGAAATATATGTACTTTTTGATTTTTGAAAATTTAACCTTATTTTCTTAAACCATTGTATAATTGAAAAAAATAATTTATGAAATGGTTAACAAAATATATGTAGTCTAGGATTTATTATTCTGTTCATTTAGCCTCCCTTGCATGCCCAACCTTGTTCAACTTGGTAGCTACATTCTAAATTCATATATATATTATATATATACTGCCGGCCGAATATACTTCACGTTTTTTTTGTTCATTCTGATAAATATAATAAATATAATATTATCTTTGTTCATTGAATATTTCCACTCCAGTCGCTAGTTAAAAATTTGTTTTGGTCATTAAAAACTACTCAATAAATCGTGAGGTATTTTATAACTCTTAAAAGCTTATTAAAATACCTTTTTTTTTTTTAAATTATAATTTTTATTTTTATTTTTTCTACCTACCTATACAAACAGTGGCGGCTCGTGGTATGGTGCACAGGAGCACGTGAACCACCCAAAAAAAAAAAAAAAAATTACAAAAAATAATTAGGTTCATATGGTAACATATAATTGATTATTATGCACGTGGTCTGTAATAAAAAAAAAGTTTTTGCAGTTTTTCATGTTGAGAAGTGTGTTTATGAACGATTAAATAATTTGGATAGCACAAATTATTTGTACTCTGAACAGCCTTGTAAATATTAGCATTATGTCGGTTAGTAATATATGGTAGTTTGGAGCACATTTAATGTGTGCACCAAACCTATTTTTATTGTGTCGCAATGTCGCGTCGAAACGATAACTCTGTACATTATCCATTAGTTGCGTTATTATAATACATTATTTTGGTATGTACCTATAACAAAATGAGTATTTTTACCATCTTACATAGGCATATTATACATTTCTTGTGCACCACCTTAGGTAAACCTCACTAGCCGCCACTGTATACAAATGTTTAATTTTATAAAATTTTTATGGACCGGTTTGAATATTTCTGCGGATTGGGCACGCCTGGTTTAGCCTATTGAAAATATATCTTACTTCATATACTGTATTAGAGATTGATAGGATCTCGGATAAAGTAAGCACAAAATAAGATTCTCATTCCGTTGTTTATAACCTATTTACATGAGTGTTATTTTAAAATTTGTTTAAAAATTTTCAATATAAACCTATAATCTCGCATATAATAATTATAACCTTAAATAGTTAGGTACTAAGTCTATAAATATTATTTAAAAAAAATATATATTTAAATAAATTAAATCAAGTAAATAAGTTTGACTAGTTAGTATACTAAAAATTTAAAGGAGCAAAATAATAATGAAATTACTTGTGTAACATTGATGTGTACTCAAACGTATGTATATTTTAATAATGTAAATATTATTATTAATTAATTATTTTAATAATAAAGAGAATAAAAAATAAAAAATGACTAGTGATTTTATTAAAAATAAGTTGAGCCCAGCTCAAAGTTTAGGTACTTAAATATTATAGGTATCCGTTTTATGTTATTATCTAATTGTTTGACAAAAAAAAAAATATAAAAAATGTGTTAGGATTTAATATGAGTTATAAATAAAGTTTTTAATCATGTCATTAGTCAATGTAATGCGTGTGTTTCAATCAACAACATACATTACACATAGTATAAAATTATTTCAATTTTTTCTCTAGATGTAACTGCTCAGGAACAAGAAGAGTTAATGATAAGAAAACTCCGACAGTGTTCAGTGCCTTTTGATTTTATGGATCCCATGGCGGAACTCAAGGGCAAGGAAATAAAGCGTGATACACTTAACGAACTGGTTGATTATGTATCAACGTCACGGGGTGTATTGACAGAAAATATGTATCCAGAAATCATTAAAATGGTATGAAATATAATATACTACTAGATGAATTTTTAAAATAATAATTATAATTTTTTTTATTGTAAAAAAAACCTATCGGAGTCATATTGTAAGCAAAAAGGTTATAGTATTTTAGCCATAGCCCAGAAGTAGCTATTTACATATATAATATAATATATATTGTAGTTTTCCATCATCAATTATGTAATCAAGCTCTTGAATGTTATGTTTTTTTTCAATACCAGCCAATTAATTATCTAAATTCCTAATACTAGTTTACAAGTAGGGCTACATACTTGTATTATATTATTGTATCATGATTTGGGTTAATAGTGAAAATTATTCATTGGTGATTTCCAGAAATTAAATTTGTACCAGAGTCCGTTAAAAATTTGGTTTCAACAATTTAAGAATATTTATTTTATGTGATTACACTTTTTCATCTAAAAAAATTTTTACTTTTGGTTTACTATAAACCACTTGATATTTTAGAAATTTCACCACGCGCGTAGCATTTTATTTTATACCTGATTTGATAAGGAATGGATATTTTCATAAAGCATTTTACAAGAATTTTACATTTTACAAAGCATTATTTAATTAACAATGAAATTTACAATCTATGTGGACTCTTATATAATATTATATTTTGAAATTTTTGGGACATAGTTCATATTTAAAAATGATCATATTTTAAATCATATGCTGATAGTTCTAAGCAAGGTAATTATAATACATGGTAGTGCCACTTCACTATCGAAATAACGATTGATGAACTATCGAAATGGTGGCCGAGAGTGGAACCAATCAGATTAGCTTATAGTCTAAGGCCATGTAAAATTATATGATAAAGAATATAATTTAAATTTGCCGCAAAAAATTAATTGTATTTCATTGGTTCCACCTTATGCTGGTTAAAAGCATTTGATAGTGATGGCAATAAATAATAACAATCGCGATTTTGATAGTGAATTGGCTCTACCATGTATTATAATTACCTTGGTTCTAAGTCTGTATTATGAGTAGATTACAGAATATAATTGTCAACAAGATTTTTGTCCCTACTTGATTTGCCACTCCAAATATTAGTAACTTTGTTAGTTTTTTCCAGACATAATTAAATAAGTCTTTTATCAAAAGTGTCCATGTTGAATATTATTACAAAATTAAGCATAAATCCTGAATACTATTATGTATGTAAGGTAAATAATTTATAAATTCAGATTTTCCCCGAAATATTTATCCATAGCGGTGACACTAATATAATAGTATTGAGTAATAATTGTATTGGAAATATTGGATAACTATAGTACCGACAACCTTTATTAGGAAGGTACACTAAATAAAAATTATTTATTACATACTGGTCATGATATTTACCCTACACTCCACATGATCGAAGGCTAAAGGAGATAATTTGGTTGAAAATACATTATGGACCAATGGTATATGGTATACTCACCAATCACTGAACATTTTAGCTGTAATAAATTCAGGATTTGTGGTTACAGCCATAATTTTTTGTTAGATTTACTATTATTTTAACAATAAAACCATTGCGGTTCCAAAAAAAAAAAAATGACAATTATATAATTCATTGTTTGTTTAGATTTCTTCAAATTTATTCAGAACACTGCCACCCAGTGATAATCCAGATTTTGATCCTGAAGAAGATGATCCGACATTGGAAGCGTCATGGCCTCATTTAACAGTAATTATATGTATTTATTAAATAATAGAATATTTTCAACTTTGTATTTATTTTAAGTTAGGTTAAGTACCTATAAAAATAAATAATAATATTTATTATTATATTTCAATAGGTACACCATATTTATGCCACTAATGTTTAGATTATCATTTTTTGCAATAGTATAAGATTGAAATAACTAAATCTTAATTTTGAGTTTTGGTACATTGTATTTAATTGTATAATAATGTTGACTTTTTCACTATTTTATTATTCTGTTGAAAATGTAAACGATTATAGGATAGAATTATTAGCCAATAGTAATATTATTATAATAATCTATATTGATTAATAATAAATATTTTACAATGTTATTGTAGTTAATTTAAGTAGAGAAAATACATTCAGTGTCTGAAAAACTAAAGTATTTATAAATAATGAGATTAAATAATAAGACATTATGATATACATACAAATAATTAATAATAAAGTTGTTCATATATGTGACATTTATTCATCTTAAATATTGCGGAAGTTTCATAATCATTAAACCTATTAAATTTTTTTCAGCTTGTTTATGAATTGTTTTTACGCTTTTTGGAATCGCCTGACTTTCAACCAGCCATTGGCAAGAAAGTCATTGATCAGAAATTTGTCTTGCAGGTAAAAAAACTCTTGACAGTAAAATAAATATTAATAACGTATAAATATTTTATTAATTATTATTACCAATAAAAATATTAAGGGCCTTTCTTACAATTTTCGGTAAAGTGTCAGTTAGCGCTAACCGACTGATAACAGATTTTATTACCGGCACAATTCGGCCGGTTAAGTTTCGGTTAACTTTAACAGGACATTGTAAGAAGAGCTGTAAGTTTATTAAGTACATAGTTTATTTAAACAACTTAATACTTACATATACATGTAGACATGGTAAAAATAAGGTAAGATACAGCTAGTCCTGATTTATAATTCATCAACATTAGCTGTCTTAATAAAAACCATTGTTATTTACTATTTAGTATCTTATTTTTATATTCAGCATACTTAAAGAGCATGACCGTACAAAGAACACCACTTCCTCCACAATAGTTAGTTGATCACACTTTTGAATACCTATTTTTACGGTACAAACATTGTATAAACCATATTATACTGTACTTATACATTTAGTATCGCCTTTCATTGACTCGTTCCCTGATTTTACAACAAAGTTGTAGAATCAAATGTACATTATTGTATAATACTATCTTTACAAAATACAATATAATGATGTGTTTATTTGGGATTTCATTATAGAGCTTATGACTAGATTTTTAGAGAACCAATCAAGATCCAGCTATTTTTAACAAATACTAAATTGTCTGTAAAATGTTTTTAACATTCCCCGATATAGATGATTTGAATAACATTAGCAGCTAATGATATTTAAATAATATTAAACCTATACAATTAAACCTAACCTATATTATGTGGATTTAAAGGAGATTTAGTTAGGTAAATTGATAATTATTAGTTATTATAACATCATTAATCAGTAATCACAATAAGTTGTATTTGTGTATTAAAATATTTCCCATTTGTTTGGACACAAACATAATTATCTGTAGGTAATAATTTTTGTTTTTAAAATTATTATAAAGTTAATTTGACCTTCAGTTCATTAGACCATAATGATTATTTACATGTAAAATTTTATAATTGCTAAAATTATTATTTTAATAATAATTTAATATATTATACAGCTCCTTGAATTATTTGATACGGAGGACCCACGGGAGAGAGACTTCCTCAAGACTGTGTTGCATCGCATTTATGGAAAATTCCTGGGCTTGCGTGCTTTTATTCGCAAGCAAATCAACAATATATTTTTAAGGTTTGTATTTAATGAATTATAGTAAAGATTAATAGGTACTTAGTATTTTCAAAAAATATATCTAAATATCTTAAATTATTAATGTAAAATTAATCAAAACTTTGTGTTTATTATAGGTTCATTTATGAAACAGAACATTTTAATGGTGTTGGTGAACTATTAGAAATACTAGGAAGGTAATTTACTTCTATATTTATTATTATTATTTACAATTTATATGTATATCAATTTTAAACAAGTTAATATAAACAAATATTTTTGCTTACATAAGCATTATCAATGGGTTTGCACTCCCCTTGAAGAACGAACACAAGCAGTTCCTGGTTAAAGTGCTCATACCTCTGCACAAAGTCAAATGCTTAAGTCTGTACCATGCACAATTAGCATATTGTGTAGTTCAATTTATCGAAAAGGATAGCTCTTTAACTGAATCTGTCATTCGAGGCCTACTCAAGTATTGGCCGAAAACTTGTAGCCTAAAAGAGGTAATATATTACATTACTCTACTTCTTAAAGATATTAAAAATTAACTAACATTTGTTATTATTAAAGACCGGATTTATATTCTCTTAAAATACCGAAAATATGATGCTAATATTCTCTAAAAACCCTTCAAATATTCTCATTATATTCTCTCAAAAATTTAAAAAATATGCTAAAATATGCAAAAATAATCAAAAAACATCATTATATGCTTTAATATGCATTTATTTTTTTAAATTTTTTTCAACTATATTTTATAGTGAGATATTACTTTGGTATTAAGAGTTGCGTATTATACCTAATGGAATAGTATTGCATTTTAGCAAGAGTAGGAAGTTGGAATATAATATAAATATAACAGTATAATATTAAAACACAAAAACAAAATTTTGATATTTGAATATTTGATAAACTTATAAGTTGATCTTATCAGTAGATATACATAGATAAACCTTGATAATACTGCTTGTTTTATTTTTATCAAAATGAAAAAATAAATAAATTGTAAATGGTCAAAAAATTTTTTTCAGAGTACCGTAATATTAAAATTAAAAATAAATACAAATTTTTGCTCACAATGTACGAAATATTCCAAAATATGCTAAATGGGTTAAATATTCTCCAACCCATGTAATATTCTCAAATATGCAAAAAAACTTTTTTCTACGCATTCAGAATTGAACGAATCGTCCACATTTTTTACTCTCATAAGACTGCATAGACCCAGTAACGATATGTAAAAACATATAAATCCGGTCTTTAGTTATTATAAATATATAGTTATATATTTTTAAAACTGAAGAGTTGGTTGATTCCTTAATTTTTGAATAATGGAATAATTTATGGATTTAAATTAATGAAATACTATATTATAGAAGATTATTTATTATTTTAATACTAAATAATAATAAATATATTAGTGTTTTTCATTAATAGGATTTTTTTCTTATTAATTTGCATATTTAACTGTGTCATAGTTTTTCACTATGTTTAATTTTTAATTTTTAATTTACAGGTTATGTTCCTCGGTGAAATGGAAGAAATACTCGATGTTGTTGAACCATTACAATTTCAAAAAATTGAAACTCATCTATTTAAACAAATCGCTCGTTGCGTATCCAGTGCTCATTTTCAGGCATGGATACTTTTTTTGCATTAATTCTATTTTGTATTTAATAGAATATATGTAGTAAATCCTAATATAGTTGCATTAGCAATGCTTGATAGATTTTTTTTCAGTTATGGAATTAGGTTTTAAAAATAAAAGTTTTTTGGTTTTAATTTTGATTTTGAATCTTGAAATTACAGTAAAATTATTTACAGTTTTAGTTTACATGAACAAGTATTAGTGTATAAAAGGATATACATGATATGAAAGCTTGAACAGTGTAGCTATCCACCAGCGACCTAGTATTTGACATATAAAATTGATTTGTGTATAGAAAATAAAGAAAATAAATAATAATAAAAAAAATAATATTCAAATTTAATAATTAAAAAAATTATATTAGACCAAACAAATATATACTTAAATATTATATTAATTTCGATTTTAGTACCCTAAAAAAATTATAGTTCTAATCTATTAATTTGTCTATGTTCTAATCCCTGGTATATAGACTATGCAATTTATAAAACTTTGATTGTATTTTCATCATATAATGGTATTTTTCAATTTAGGTTGCCGAACGAGCGTTATATTTGTGGAACAACGAATACATTATGAGTCTGATAGAAGAAAATAACCAGACAATCATGCCAATCATGTTTCCAGCGTTATACCGTATCAGTAAGGAACATTGGAATCAAACCATTGTAGCATTAGTTTATAATGTACTGAAAACATTCATGGAAATGAATAGTCAACTTTTCGACGAATTAACTGCTAATTATAAAGCAGAACGGCAAAAGTAAAAACTTAACAATATTGTGTAATATTTTTTACAATTGTGTTGTTGTTTTTTTACAGAGAGAAGAAAAAGGAAACTGAACGTGAAGAATTGTGGAAACGATTGGGACAACTTGAAATATCATCTAGCGGCCGTGGTAAACCATCTGCAGCATCACTAATATCAGTAGATAATAACAACAAGACTAGTAGTAACAATAGTTTGGATTCTGTTCAAACAGCTGTAACAACTGCAACAGCACCAATAGCAGCGGCACCAATAGCAGCATCTCCAATTGCAGCGCAGCAACAGTAGTAGGAGTGGTAGTAGCAACGATAATAATTATTTGTCATTCAATACATACATGTGTCCATGTGTATGTTTAATCTATATATTTATTTATATATACAGACATACACATGTATGCTTGTGTATTATAGTTGTATACAATTAAAGATCAAAAACGTTAAGGTTTAATGTGGTGGAATTTTAAAATAATACAATGAACGTACAATGTTGTTATCGGTGCGCACATACTGCTGTGGTGTGTTTTTATGTGTACATTTTATTTTCAATAGTATTTGTATGGTAATATGTGATTACATATGCTCCACATTAAAGTTATGTTTTACAAAAAAAAAATATCATTTGAGAGAAAGAAATTATGGAAATGCTAATTATAATAGAATATGACATACTTGAATGTTCTATGAATATTTATTTTATGTGTATGAGAATTTGATGAGTGAAATCTTGGTGAAATTAAATATGTGATGTGAAACATGTTTACATGCATGTTCTTATTTTTATTAAATGTATATTATGTGAATTGTTCGATATTATGTACTCAAAAATGTGATGTTATCATTGCTATTATTCTATTGATTTGATATAAACACAATAACAATCAACACACGTGTAAACGCGTATAACTAATGCAAATGTGGCGTTATAAAAATTTTAATTTTCTAATTTTTAATGTAAATTAAATTAGATTTAACCCTCTCCCCCTGTGTAAGCGTGTGCGTGTGTAAATAATATTAGATTAATTATAAATATTAAAAATTGTTATTTTTTAATAATTATATATTTATATATATATATATATTTATATATATAAATATATTATATAATATATAATGTAAACATTCTTAACTGTTAGCAATAGTAGTAGTAGTGGTAGTAGTAGTAGTAGTAGTAGTAATAATAATATTAGTAGTAGTGGTATTATTAGTAGGAGTTTAACAATATTATTTAATAACAAAATACATAAAGTAACTAATCTCACACATACTGATCTGTAAATAATTTAATAATTGAAAATCATTGATCAGATATCTTTTTTGATAAAGGTATTGCATAATTTCTTATCATATATGATATTACAACTTTGATTACTGATGTCCATTGTGGCTCCACTGATGCTACTCATAATTTTTTTTTCTATTGTCTTATGATATGATTTTTATAATTGTTTTAAAGATAAAATATGTTTTAACAGTGTCGTTGCCGATGCCTCAACCTTAACTATTAGCTACTACATGTAGGCTACTGCTACTACTACTACTACTGCTTCTACTACAACTATTACTACTACTATTATTATTATTATTATTATTATTATTAATAATTATAAATATTATACGTATATTAACTGTATGAATGTTTCATTTCTCGCGCGCGTGATAGTCTTTATGTAGTTTGTAAATCAATATTATAACGAAATTATTATTATTTGTTGTCGTTAATGCGCGTGCGCACGCGAGAGTTATAATATTCTGATATATATGTATATGTACAAAACTGACAATTTAAATCTTTAAAGCCAATGAAAACCCATATAGATAGAAAACATACACTCCATATATACATATATAAACATATGTATTTATCTGTGTGTGTGTGTTTGTTAAAATGAAAAATATTATATATTACATAAACACGAGGAAGATACACACAATTATTATATATTACTATATTATTACTATCATTAGATCATTATAATTATTATTGTAATTATATAAATTATAAAATATTATTATTAAAAAAAATTACATTAAAATTTTTTTTTTATTATTATTTATTTTCAGTAACCTATTGTACGGGGAGATCAACATATCAAAATTCCTAGTAGTTGTTGAGAAATGTTAAAATAATCATTAAATGTATACTATTTTCACTTAAAATTTTTTTGTTGTAATTTCTAGTATAATTAAATTGCTGGTATAAAAGGGATAATACTCAATATCTCTTGAAGTTAACATCTACAACCCTTTTGAATTGGGCTTGCCCCTTATTCTTATCTATTGATGTTTTAATTGAAAATTTAATTTTTAATTTAAAAAAAATTGTCTAGTTTTATAAACTATAAAATAAATTTCAAAACAATTCCATTCTTTAAGTTTTTAACATCTGAGGTCAATTATTAAGGTTAATTTATTGTTTTGTATTAAGATCCAATATCTTTGATTATTTGAGAACATTGACAATTCTTAAATTTTATTGTATTCACCATCCTGGCATATTTTGTTGAACCAATTTTGTGTTTTTAGATTAAATATTTTTACATCCATTATCCAATTTAAAAGTAAAAGCAAGATGTGTGATCTTTAATTTTAACCACAATTCAATATTTACCCTTGACAAACATGTAAAAATAGTGTAATATAAAATTTTCAAGTAGATCATAATATACTTACCCATTAGTTTTATTATAAGCTAAATAATTGTAGTATTAAAATCAACACATTTCAGAACTAATTGTTCTGCTGAATGCAAATTTGACATGTATATTTGTTGATGGAGGCCATTCATACATAATTGGAACTGTTTATCGTTGAAGCACGTCATGTTTTTTTATAAAAATTTTCCTGGGGCAGTTGATCCATGATGGAGGTGTTCCACCATTTGAAGAGCGCTGATGATGAGCGAAAAATCGTTCGTGTGGTGTACAATTGGGTAGCAGTACATAATAATGCTCGAATGGAATGTAAGGCGTCAGCTACTACAGCTTCCTATTGCTCTCTAATTTCAGCTCTTTTGTCCTTATAACCAACAGGATAGTCTTCCACATTAGAATAACAACAAAATAAGAAAACCGTCCCATGAGATATCAAGTTAAGTTACAATATTGTAACTATACAATGTGTCAATGTTAACCAATTCGTTAGGTACATTTTTTTTTCAATAAAGGTTGACTAAATTAACAGGAATCTTGTATTACATTTTCAAATCCTATAGTTATAAAAAGACACTTATTTATGAATTTCTAACTCAAAATAGTTTGCAAATATTAGTGATTTTTACGAATTTTGTCAACATTTTAAATTCAGATAATCGTAACAATATTATTATGGATTTAAGCTCGACGGATTTTAAAATTTTTACGAAAAAAACAATGTATGAGTAACCCTGTAAGACGAGGGAAGATTATCCAATCAAGGTTCAACCAAATTGCTATTTCCATCAGTCTCTTATTAACATCTATTATATGTTTTATAAAATATTATTATAGGTAATAATAATATGTAATACAGGATAGTTCGGTATTATTAAGTACAAATTAGGTAACATTATCTATATTTTTAGCAGACGAAAAGATACATTTTGTTTAGAGTATAAGTCCCTCCTAAACTATGGTAAAAATATTTTCAGGAAAATAATATAATTGTCAAAATATTTTAAAAAGTTGCGTAAATAATCAGGAAATATTTTGGTTATATTCTTTGGCCCAAAAGTTCATATATTTGAAAATATTTTATGAAAAACATTTACAAAAAAAAAAGTTGACTGAAACTTTAAAAAAATATTAAGTCAACATTTTTATGCAATAATCATATAGTACAATATTTTTTTATCATGAGAAGAAAATATTTATAAAATATTATTAGTAAAATATTCATTATTCAACCACTTTAAGACATTCACAAAATATTATAATTTCCAAAATGCTGTGTGGGTACCTATATATAATATATATACTAAATACTAATCAGCTACTAATTAAACCTGTTTAAGTAGTTTTTGGAATCAAAGAGGAATGAAGAAAATAAAAAAATGCTCGTGTGTGTATTTTAGTACGGCATGACAGAATTGAATACTTAAATGAATATTATTAAACTAGTATTTAACTTTGATTGGAAGTCAGACAAAAGGTAGGTCGTAGGTAACCTATAGTATAAGCATTGCCCCTTGTAGTATATACCTAGTAATCAGTGTTTTAAAATATATTTAAGTAATTACTCAAATACTTTTAAAATAAAGTATTTAAAATACCACCCAAATACTATAAATAATATTACATTTTACTTTTTAGAAGTATTTGAAATAATCTTCAAATTAGCACAAAAAAAATTCTATTAAGTTCTGATAGATATAATTTGTTATACCTACCTACTTAATCAAAAATTTGATTATTGCATTTTAAAAACATGATTCGTTCAATAGGTAATCAAAATGCTGATCAGTCATATTGATTCTTTTTTAGTGATTATTGCACAAATGCACCATAACAACAAATTTTTGTATCGAATTTTCCATAAATGATAAATATATAAAATTATATTGTTATAACGTTGAAGGATAACCACGACGGCACGGTATTTTTATTTAACAAGGATTTTAAATAGATACAAATTAAAAATTAATAGAATAAAAAAAAAAGTATTCAATAGTAAAAAAGGTGGGCAAGTGGGCGTCGATTTGCTGTACAGTAGGTAGGTTAAAAGTGGGTCACCGTAATGGATGGCGTTAAATTTCAATTCAATGATATAATATCATTGTATAAGAAAAACGATTCTGAGCGAAGACAGTGTATGATATTTCTCAGTACTTACCTATATTTGATGATATTGTGAATAAGTTAATTTATATATAACCTATTTTCGTGGAACCTTGTTTTAAATTTTCAATCGTTAGATATAAAAGTTGAACATTTTATAAATTTTTAACTACAATATGAGTATTAAATTTTAAATTTGATATATTTGGTCAAAATTCGAACTTCATAGGTATGCTAAATTTTTACTTTTGAACCAAAGTACCAACTAGATTCACTTCCCTATCAGAAATGATACAGTTGAAGAAAATCCAAGCACTTTTACTGTCCTATATGTTGATCACAGAATTTAAAATTTAAAATTAAAAAAAAAAACACATTATTGTAAAATAAATACATTCATCGCTCCCCTCGGAATCTGAAAATTAAGGGTCACTTATCGAGATAAAATATAGCCTATAGATCTTTGAGATAGTATTGCTTTCTAATAGTAAACTAATTTTTAAAATTGGTTAATAAGTTTCAAAGATTTTTTTTT